ACATAGATGGTGGTCTGTGTACACGAGTGAGGTGTACATAGATGGTGGTCTGTGTACACGAGTGAGGTGTACATAGATGGTGGTCTGTGTACACGAGGGAGGTGTACATAGATGGTAGTCTGTGTACACGAGTGAGGTGTACATAGATGGTAGTCTGTGTACACGAGTGAGGTGTACATAGATGGTAGTCTGTGTACACGAGTGAGGTGTACATAGATGGTAGTCTGTGTACTTGAAAATGAAATAATATACAACATTGCTATTAAATGTTTTCATTATCACAAACAAAACAGCCAAATATCATGGGACTAGGATTTTAGGGTAAAAGTTTTGAGAAAAAAACGACAAAAACGTACCTTAATTTTTGTTGTATCTCGTATATCTGTATTGTGTGCGATTAATTAGCTAAGCCTAATGCTTGCTTTGCTACACATTTTCAGTGTGTGCTTGTAATTATTCTTGTTCTGTACACCCAATGACCCATTGTAGCTCATTCTGTACACCCAATGACCCATTGTAGCTCATTATATACACCCAATGACCCATTGTAGCTCATTATATACATCCAATGACCCATTGTAACATTTCGAGCTTTTTATTTTTGTAAGAAATACTGGAAGATGTTTTTGAGAGTACTTAACACGTACCCTGACCCTGCTCCCCTTATTCTTTACATCACTGTTGCACCATTCATGTGAATTGCTATTGGGTTGGCATAGAATATGTGTTAAAAGTCACCAAAAATAACAGGAGCGAGGTTTCTGACCTAGTTTACCAAGAAATAGTACAGTTTCTGCTCTTGCTGCTAGAGACAATTTGTTTGTTTTTTTACACACGCGCGCGTAAAAATAAAATGTAAACAATCGTTTCTTTTTGTCATATTTTATGCAAAGCTACTCGAAGGAATAATAAATACGACGAGCACAAAATACTCTTTATTTAAACTTGTTTGTTTGTTTTTAAGCGGTACGATGGTTTACTTGCCTTTTGCATGGATCAAAATCCGAATTTTAACGTTATAAACCTTTAAAATGAGCCACCGGAGTTAAATTTAAATGATAAACTTGTCAGTTAGTAACATTGTCTGTCCAACTATTTATTATTATAAATTATTTATTGCTCAGAAGCTTTTTAAACTAACACGAAACAGGGGAGAAAGAAAAAAGACCCATAACACAAAAGTAAGCAGGTTTTTTGCAAGGAGGGTAATACTTCAATTGTGTTAATGGAAACTGGTATCTTTTGATGTTTTCATATTTGGTCTGTTTAGAACAACAATGTGTGTTGTGTAATGGGGTGTGTACGTGTACAGTCAAATTTGCGTGAGATTAAAACTGTATACTTATATAAAGAGAGAGAGAGGAGCCTGATCTTATACTGGATATAACTGGGCAGACAAGTTGATGAATATATTTATTTTTTCGTGCATAATTTACAAGTGGTTCTCGCGAGGAGTTTCAATCGACCCAGCTGGAAACTACAAAAGGGTACTTTTATTTTCTGGCAGTGTGGTTCAGTTACGTCTCCTTTTCGCGCACAAAATGACTCGTTGTTGTTGTCGTGGAGTTTACACACTTTAGAGCTGCTGTGTGTTTAAGAGTGAGGTAGACGTGACGTCAGCTATTTTGAAAACTGTGATCTATTGATCATAAACGTATCCGATGAGTACCAGTAACCAGTTGTCCCGGATGAGAGCTTTCAGAAGGTTTGAAACCTTAATCATTATTTCCGTTTCTTGATGACGTAACATGGTTAATTTGGATGGATAACCAGTCATCCACCTCTTAGAACACATTGTAAACTATAAAACGGGTTATATACAAAGTTGACACGAATTGTTTTAACTTTAGTATTAATATCACTTCAAGTTACTCTGCTTAAAAAAAAAACAAAGAGAAAAAACATGATATTTAAAACTAGAGTAGTAATTATTTAAAAGCAAGAAGAATTCTCTAGGATTTGGCATTGTAAATGCGGGGTTCGATTCCCCGCGATGGACACAGCAGATAGCCCAATATGGTTTTTAATGTAAAACCAAACAAAGCCATCTGGTGTCGCAATGGCCTAACTATCCCACATATTAAACTATATAACTTAAAAATATAAGGTGTTTTTTTTACTTACATACCCATAGACCTGTCTTCTTCTTTAAAAATGGAGCAAGAATGTCTGATTTGTTTTTGGTTCGTGAAGCGTGTTGAAAAGATTTATCTTAAGCCGAAGAGACCTAATGATTTTCTAAATTTGGAAACTATGCGATTACACGTTACTCTTCAGTCAGATCTTATACCTGTGGTCTATTTCTGTAATTTACCACACTGGCCCACCGCCAGGTTCGTACGACCATTTCTGGTTTTTATCCAACATGAAAGGTAAGTAGTCGGGCAGCAGAAGTTTTCTATGACATTTAAAATGGCCGAATCATCATAATATTCACATCGAATTTCTTGAACTTAGTAATGTTTGAATGTTTACTTCTTCCGGTGGAACATCATCGGTAAGAACTACAAATTTACAACGCTAAAATCTGGAGTTTGATTCCTCGCTGTGAATAGTGTGTAGATGGTATATTGTGTAACTTCACACTAAGAAAACAACATGAATGTTAGGCCTAGCATGGCCTCAATCTGAGGGTCGCGGGTTCGAATCCCCGTCACCGAACATACTCGTCCTTTCAGCCACTGGACATTATAAAGTGACGGTCAATCTCACTATATGTTGTTAAAAGAGTATTCCAAGAGTTGGCGGTGGGTGGTGTTGGCTAGCTGCCTTCCCTCTAGTGTAGCTCTGTACGAATTAAAAAAACAAAACAAAATACATGAATGTTTACTTTCCCGTATGACATGGTAAGAAACGCCACCTATATTTATGTCGTGGTAAACACGAGGAGCTGCTGTAGTCCATGTAGACCTGCGAACGAAAGACAGTAATAAATAAAGGTTATGCAGGCAAGATTAAAAACGAACAAACGAGACCACGAGCACATAAACGTTTATAGGGTTATGTAACATATCTCAATGTGTAATATCTTTTCAGTCACATTGTACTACTATATTATGGGTAAAAAAAACCCCACAAAATCTATGTTTATTGGTAGAATTAAAGGTGAAATATTTATTATTAGTTACAGCCGACTAGTTTTGGTAACACAGTTACCAACCTCAGCTGAATATAGGTTAAGCTAACACTGTAAATGCTAGCTCTGATTATGGAAACTGTTACCGAAACTAGTCGGCTGTAACTAATGATAAAGATATCTTTTATTGGTCCACAAAACGTCGGATTTTGTGGGTTTTAACTCTTAATTTCACTTTGTATTTCAATGTTGTAGTGAAATGGAGAATAAATTCAAAATCTCAAACCAGTAACAAAGATATTAACAATTTACAGAGGTTTCTATATTTAAGCAAACAAGAACGTTAATGTGATTTATGATTTTAACCCAACCGTTACTGATGGAGTCATTCAGTTTTTCAAATAGTTTTTTATAAACTATTTGACCCGGCATGGCCAGGTGGTTAGGGCGCTTGACTCACAATCTGAGAGTCGCGGGTTCGAATCTACTCCAAACATGCTCGCTCTTTCAGCCGTGGGGGTGTTATAATGTGACGGTAAATCCCACTATTCGTTGATAAAAGAGTAGCCCAAGATTTTGGCGGG